TTACGAGTTGCTAAATATGTATTAAAATATGTAAATACTGTACGATATTTAGGAGATACCAAATTTTAAATACTTAAGTATTTGAGGGTGCTTAATAATTTTCGGAACTTTTCGTAACTTTTGAAAAACTTTCTGGATGTTTCCGGGACTCTTCGTATTCTACTTTTCAGAATTGTTTTTCTTTTCTTAAGGGATTTCGGTGATTTTTAAGTTCCTTTTTTAATTTGTATAAGTATTTTTTATAAGTAATTATTTAAGTATTTGAGAGTGCTTCATAATTTTCGAGACGTTATAAAACTTTTCCAAATTTTCTCTAAATTTGTGTTTTTCTCTTTGGGGTTTCTTAAAGATTTTTTTTTTTTGATTTTTGCGTAATATGTTTTTATTTGAATTTTTAATACTTTTTGGAATTGTTCGTGTTATATTTAATCAGCGACATTCCGGAGATTCGTTCTTATTTCGCATCAAAACTATCAGCATTTTCAGACATTGTAGTCGAAAGCTCCAGCTTTAATTTCGGCCTAAATGAAAATTTTCTTTTGTTTCTCCGCTGGAGCTTCTGAAACACTGCCAAAAATGCAATTTTTTACACTTTAACTACGTTTTCCTCAAAATCGGGAGCTGATAGAAACTTTATATCTACGGATTCGTAATCAGCACAAAAAACCCACTGCACGCTTGAATATGTTCTTCCTCATACAGCTCATCGCTCATCAAAAGAAAGAAGGCTGTCTCCGAGGCTAAATTGAACCTTTCGTTGGCAGGCGTTTTTGGGCACCCAGCGCACAACCCATTGTTAAGAGGTTTGCTTTCTCGCATTAACTCACTTCCGGTTGCTATCCAGAGGATATTCCCACCAAAAATAAGAATGATATATATACATTAGAATGCACCACTCTCCACAAAAAAAACGGTATTGTTTTATTACGGATATATACAATTTATTATATTCTATCTAAGACCTCCATTAAAATATTTTTTAAAAGCTTATACCTTTTGAAAATATTTTCTCTAAAAAATCACTTCAGATGATAGAAGGGGTATAAATTTAAAAAAATTGTATCAACGGAATCAAAATGATGAGATTTTTGGTTCTATTTTCAATTCGATCCAGCTCTCCTATTATCCGAAATAATTTGGAGGAAGTCTTAAAATATAAAATGTTTTATTCTGGAGGATATATTACGAAGACTCTGCACCATCCGGTTGCACGTGCATGCCTACATTTTGTTTGTTTGTATGCACGCGTTATCATTCACAGAGGTTACCTTAAAAAAGGTATAAAGATCATTAGTGAATACTATTTAGAGCTGATGGAGGGATTCAAATTTGACATGAAGCAAAAACGACCATTACGATTTTCATGTTAAGTAAAAACTACAATTTATTAACTGATTTTTTTTTGGTAATGTAATAGCTGTGTATGTATATTGAATCTTTTGTAACGAGACTGAGTGTATTGGTTGAAGTGAGTATCTGAAGGATTTCGGTTGACTATGATCGAAAACAGTAGCTACTACTACTATGTTCTTTTCAATTCCGTTCACTTACTGCTTTCGTCCATCGGTCACACTGCTTTGACACAATTTTTGTATGTGCTTTAAAATGCCAATATGGATAGTTTAAGCACCTACTTGTTGCTACACTGAGAGTGATAGCTGGTAGCTTTCGCTATTTGTTTGGCACTCAAGCATCACTTTATAGTACATACATACACTGAAAAAAAAAATAAACCAAGGTGAATTAGCTGTCAAAATTTACATGTATTTTGGTTTAGTTTTTGGCGGGTTTGTTGTCAAATCAGTAAAAGCAAATACAAAATACATGTAAGGCAAATGAAATAGGAAGAAATAAGCTGATCTAATAACACAAACTCGTATGAATTCGCCTTGAAATAAACCATAGAACACATATGAATTGGCGTCAAGCGATCTTTTGTTATTTTATGAACAGATTTTTATTTAGCGATTTTTCCACTGGAATAGTTTTCAGTCTGCACTTCACAGATGCTTTTTCATAGTATGAAGACAAAAAAAAATCACAAAAATAAATTTATATTATTTTAATATCGTAAGAAACTTTTTATTATCATTGAACAATTGAATCCAGCACCTCCTGGAGCCTAATGCTCTTCAAAATGTTTTCCCTTGTTCTTTGTTATTTGGTATATGGGCAAATCTCCGGAACGGTGTGCTTTTTGTCACTCATCTTTAAATTAATTTTATTAATGTACATTTACTTTTTGTAAAAATCTTGGGCCATTTTGGTAATAAATGTGACGAGATCTTGTAACTTATTTATTTATTTTTATTTTAATAATGTTATTTCAATTTTCATAAACAATCAAAGTAACTAAAATAGCAATTTTGTCGTGTCACTTTGGGTGCCTTTTGTACAATTATTGACTATAACTTTTTCAGCGCAAAACAGAGACATTCAAAAACCATGACAAATAGTAAAGGCAATATTGGAATATGCATTAGATGTTGAGAAAAATTAGTACTCCTCATTGGAAATAAACTGTAACATCTTGAAATCTGTCACTCGTGATTATGGAAAAGGTTTTATTATAAGTTTCTTTTCATTTTGAAAATATTGAAAATATAACAAATATTATCTGAATAGGTCTTTGCGTGAATGGTTCAAAATTTTACCTTACATAAAAGGTTGGCATTAAGCGCGCTCGTTAGATAACATTCATAAAGTTCGTTGAATATGCTAAATACATAAAATAATTTTTGTCTAATATACGGCCATGAATTAAATGATATTTTCAATAGATCTAAAGCGAAAATTAGTTTTTCGTAACATTTTTTGGAAACAGGGCGCGGCCCGCCCACTTATGTAAAATATTTTTATCTCAAAAACCACTGCACCAATCATTACCAAATTTGATATACACATTGTGCCTGACCTTCTTAAATACTGTCTTGTAAATTTTTGAAATCGGGCAAAAACCACGCCCTGTAGAAATATCGCTTACATTGTGTTTTCAAAAATTATCGTTTTTTACCTGAAACTTTTTAAGCATTTGAGTAAAATGAATAATACAAGAATTTAATATTTCCTCAATGGATTTCAAACTATTTGATGGATAATTTATTAACGTTTTTTTAGCCGGAGTTTTTCCCCATATGCATATAGTCAATCAATAAAGGTATGCAATTCGGGCAACTGTTTTTTAGAATATTTTGGTTTTTGCAAGTTTTTTATAAAAACCACAAACAGCAGAGTTTCAAACCTTGTGCAAAACTAAAGAAACTCCTACAAATTTTCATTAAAATATTGCACTTTTTAATTACATTCTTTAGAAAAAAATTGAGTATGCAGTTTTTTAGTTCATCCATTTACCGAATATTATTTTATATGGAGAAAATGAGCAACACCTCCAACAAAAAAATTGGTCAAAAATCAATGGTAGCGAGCTTGCACTGTATTGTACAAAAATTGAATGGGCTAAGGAACTGCATACTAATATTTTTCTAAAGAGTGTAACAAAAAGTGAAATATTTCAATAAAAATTTGCAGAAGTTTCTTTTATTTTGCACGAGGTTTGGAACTCTGATTTTTTGCGGTTTTTGTTGTACAACTAACAATATTTTAATACAAAATTTGCAAAAAATAAAATATTTAATAAAACAGTTGCCCGTATTGCAAAAATCACTCTGTACGTAAACTTTTTTGATTAACTGTATATTTAGCACATGCTCTGTAACCATCTTGTTTGTTGAATAAGTGCCGTTTTCTCAAGTCTCTTTTACAATTTATCTGCCCTTCAAATAAATTGGGCCGGATTCTAGTTTTCGTTAGAATCGAAAATTTAAAATCTAGAAAAGTAATAAGAAAATCATAAATTTTCGACTCGTACGAAAACAAGAATACGACCAATTTTTTCAGAACAAAATTTGTGTTTAAAGGGCTGATAATTGAAAGCCTGAAAATGTTAAGCGAAAGGTAAAACGAAAAGTAGCCAGCAACTCTGCACAATCAATTACAACATTTTCTTATCCGTGACATGAAGTTTTCCGATCGCTTAAGGTAAAGTTTAACCGCTTTGTGTTCGCCGCTACTGAATTCTATAAACTCTCTCAGTTGTCACACAGAATTGAGGCAAGAAACATGCACATATGTATTTATGTATGTAAATGTTTATCAAATTTTCTTGCAAGGATAGTCTGGAAGGATATAATGGCACTTTTTTATTCGAAATGTATAACAAATATTTAAATTATGTTTCTACATAACATGAGCCACTAAGTGGTAAAGAATTTAAACTAGAAGTCGGAAGTCCATAACCAAACAAAGCGTACAACTTAAGTGTGCGGCTAATGCCAAGTAGTATAAGAAAAACCTGAGGTAAAGTTTGAAAGCAAACGAAAAAACTCAATTAGAAAAAATTACCTGGTGGCTTCCCGCACAAAAGGCATAGCAAACACTGTCTTGCAAAACGAAAATAATAATCAGTCCATTTGCACAAAACACTTCGCCTTAATTAGTTCTGAAGCTCGAATAGCGGAATGTGCAGTAAAAAAGTAATGCTGTCCTGCAGTTCACAGTACATTTCGTTTGGCCAAAATTACAGCCAACTACAGAGTATCTGCGTCTAATGCAGCTCAAAGTTTTTAAAACATCTTGAAAGTAATTAAAATCGACTGACCACGTTTGCAAAGGTCAGAGTCGTGTTCGTTACAAGTTGTGGCAGCTAAGGCCAATTTAAAGCAAATCGACGCATCCGCTTTTAAGTGAGTGCAATAAAAAAGCATTCGACTGTCACTGCTTTCAGCGAGTTTGAGAAGAAGGTCATTTTCAATTACAATTTTTATTTGTTTACCAAACTTTTTTTTTTTACAAAGAGGACTGTTTTAGTTTTGATTAGATTATAGTGTGACACTTTTAATAGAGTGTAACCCGTTTTAGTAACAATATTTAATATTTTACGGATACACTTTGTAACACTTTTTTATGCAATTGATCAAATCTTATATCTCTTTTTTTTACAGATTTGTGAATTTAAAGTTAATAAAGCGTACGCCATTGTTAGTTCATCGATGAGCTTCTGGATTCCTGGCTTCGTTATGGTTTTTATGTATTATCGCATTTATCAGGAGGCAGTCCGGCAGGAGCGTCTTGTTTACAGGTAAGACGCAAACAAGTTGAACTAAAACACTATTTTGATTTTTTTGCTTTGCTTACTTTTTCATCCTAAAATTTAATTTAATTTTATTTTATTTTATTTTTTCACTTTGCTTAAATTTTCATTCCAAAATAAAATTAAATTGAATTAAATTTTGTTTTAGTTTTTCACTTTGCTTAATTTTTCATCATAAAATTTAATTTAATTCAATTTCATTTAATTTTATTAGGAACTTCTTTTATCTAACGGAAGCATACATATACTGAATAATCTGAATTTGGCACAAATATCAATGCAACACTTGCTTTATCAAGCGGAACATTTTTGTTTTTGTTTTTGTTTTTTTAACCAGAAGACGTTATGCCCTATGCTATGATCGAAGATAGAAAAATCTTGCTGTACACATTTCTGGAAACACTTCTTTCACTAAAAAGCAGCTAGAAAGCTTCGATTTGTTGCATTGAAAAAAGCGTGGCATCTACTGTAAGAATCGTAGGTCCGTTTTAACTTTCCTTTTCACTTATATGTACATTAGGAGGAATAACATTTTTTATATTATAAAACAGCTGCCAAAATATTTCGGAAAATATTAATTTTACGTGAGTGGGACCGATTTGAAAATATCTTATAAAACGAGTTTTATATTAATTACATAAATGACACTATTTCTCATACTGATGCGAAATAAAGTCAATTGACATTGTTACCCTTTCAAAAGCAAAATAAAGTCAATAAAAATTTGGAAATAAAATAAATTATAATATTTCTTCATTCATAAATGGAAAGCGTCATAAATGCTTAAAGTATGTCGATTCAAAGAAAAAATGTTGTTCTTGCATCGTACGTATGAATATTGTTACAATATACGTTGCCCCGTAAGTGTTGTTTCCATAGATGAAAGAGGTTATTGCCATATCCTCAATGCTATTAATTAACACACAATCATGAACCACCACCAACTGATTTTGTTAAACAAAATTTTAAATTACGAATATAACAAAAACACGATGCGGAAAACTAAACGCAAAAAGAGCTGGAATACGAGAAATATTTAAAGAAAGAATGTAGAAATGATCCAGTCTGCGAAATAGTGTCAATTGACCTTATTTCCTTTGATCTTGTTACCTGTCACCGCAAAAAAGCTTATTTTGCTCGCGAGCTCTGTGGGTAACTATGCATTACAGGAAGCTGAGTACTTCGTCACAAAAACGGATATAGTCACTTTAGCTAAATCATACAACTAGATAACGAATTCGAGGCCCATAGATCGATCGCTGTGTGGACGATGGACCTATCTCAGCAGCCAGTTTGAAAACGCCCTATCTCAGAAAACTTTTCAATAATGCCCTATTTCAGAATTCGGTTCCAAAACGCCTTATCTCAGCGTATTTTCAATATATTTTTAGTTCAGATCGGGCGTTTACGAACCAAGTTCAGAGATATGGCCTTCTTCAATCAGATTCTGAAATCGGGAGTGCTTCTTCTTCTTTCTGAGATAAAAAATTTTAGAATAGTTTCCTTTAGCTCCCCGTGGTCCCTGAGCACGATATCCCTGCACAATAATCAAAAATTCCCGTATTGCTATTGAAATCGTCACATTTACCTTTTAGAGGTCGCTGATTTACAATTTGAGGTTAACTTTCAGAAACTCAATATTTTATGGAAAAGTCAGGGTATCGGTTCGAAAGTATAAGCGTATGGGTTTTCAATATTGCTGATAAAGAATCAAGTGTCGCAATGACAAAAATTCAAAATGGCACATGTAAATTACAAGATTTCATTTCTTAAATTTTGGCCAGATATTCCAACTTTACGATAAAAAAATTGAAAACTTTCACGCATTGTTGAAATTTTATTAAAAATTATGATGTGGATAGGCAAAATCTTATTGGAATTTAACTACCACTGATTGATACTAACGCTTGTTTTTTCTGAATTGAAAATAACGTGGCAATTGTGTTTAGATATTGGCGATTTCACAACCCCTGCGTCCAAAAATCAGCCTTACAGTAAACAAAAGGGATTGCCTACTGTACGAGTATACACTAATATATGTATGTATTTTTACAAATATGCATACGGAATATTCTAGTACAGTAATGATTACTGAGTAATAATTTTCGGCTGCCTTCGTTTACTATAAAGTGTAGCTAAAAATAAATTTAACTTTCAGCTGAATTTTTTTTTATTAATATATATATTGAATTTAGGATCACTTCATTTTGTTGATTCAATTTGCTATGCCAGTCATGCTTAACATCTCCGTCAGTCTTCACTGTAACATACCAAATCTCTTTTTCTGTTGATGCTCTATAACAATCTTCTTTTTATTAATAAAATTTTTTTCTCTGTTTTATTTCTTATATTTTCAGATCCAAAGTGGCTGCCTTGCTGTTGGACAAACATTTGCAGATTAGCCAAATACCCAAACCACGCCCGAGCATACAAGTCGAACAGTCGACCATCACAACAATGCGTCGTGAGCGGAAAGCCGCACGCACGCTAGGCATTATAATGAGCGCATTTTTACTATGCTGGGCGCCGTTCTTCCTATGGTAAGCTGGAAAAATATCCAAATATATGTATCTATGTACAATAGGGTGGTCCTTAAATGTAGGAAGCAAAAATTGATATCGGAGATGAATGCAAAAAATGAATGAATGAGAAATGAATATTCTCTATTTGTCTCGCAAGTGCAGCACAAAAAAAACGAATGAAGATATATTCAATAGATTTTTGATCAGTTGCGACCCTTTTATATCAAGTATGAGAAAACTACCCAAAAAAAAAAAATGGAGGATTTTCCGAAAAAAGCAAAACATTTGATAATTATGAAGAACTGTGATGATTAAGTTGTTGATAGCGATGACAATGACGCAAGCGAAGATGATGATTGTTTTTATTAAAGGTTATATTTTTAAACTATTTTCTAAACTTTACGAAACCATAGAGAAAATTTGTACCTGTCGAGTTCATTAATATATGAAAAATTACCTATAAATGACAATGATATTTACTTTTTCATAAACAATTAACAAAACAGTTACAACAATCCGCCTTATGAAGAAATCTTTTAAAAGTATTACTTCCGTTGATGATGAAAATAGTGATGAAGATAATGATGAGCATAACTTTGATAATGATAGTGATGATATTAAACGAATTATTAATAATAAAAATTATTTATAAGAACAACAACTAAAATCTCACTTTTTCGGTCTTGCTAATGCCATAAAAACCTTAATAAAAGAAAATTCCCAACTAAACTTTTTTCGGATTTTTCTTTTCTTACTTTATGTGTTGCTAGTTATATAAATATATCAAATTATTTTAGATCAAAAGAGCGTATGAATTGATCTCTGTGCGTCGATGCTATTATAGTAGAAGATATTACATTTCATATATGTCGCACAGGGGCCAAAGTTCAAATTACCCAGTGAAGACGTCATAACCGACTCTACCAAAATTTTATATGTGATATACTCTATTTTAGGTAATAAATGAAAAAATAATAATGTTTGAGTCCATAGAGGCAACTGTCATTTTACCTCTTTACGATATGCCTAAACCGACTCCAATCGGGACCAAAATTTATATGTGATATCTTCGACTATGGCAGTATCGACATGGTGATTGCGGCTTTGGATATCTGATGTAAAATATGCTTCCTACATTTGAGGATCACCCTAGTGAACATACATACGTAATATGTATGTATATTTGTGTAAAAGTAAACAAATAAATAAATTTTAAATTACCTTATTAATGAACAATCCCTCGCATAACTTTCTTTCATAAAAAATTCCTTGCATTTCTGTTTTTTTCTGGCTTTTTATAAATATTTATGTACATAAATTATTTCTAATACACATATATTTTTGCTTGTTGTATTTTTCTTTTCCAAAACAAAGGTATTTGGCCTCCACGCTCTGTTCTAGTTGTACCACACCACGCATTGTTGTCGGTCTGCTCTTTTGGATTGGCTACTTCAACTCTGCCTTGAATCCAATCATTTATGCTTATTTCAATCGCGATTTTCGCGGCGCTTTCAAGGAAACGCTAAAGGTAAGTTTACAGTTTTGATACAAATTATTTTTAGTTTGCAGTGTTGATAGATGCTGCTTGCTGCTTGTAAAAATAAAATGCACTTTTTAATTGGAAACATGAAGTCGAATAACTCAATAAATACCTACATGAAGAACTCATTTATTATAACACCATCTGCTATTCTTAAAATGCTTCATACACTTTTACACAAACAACAACACTTGAATAGTTGTATATTTTTATACATATACTTATACATATATTTTCATGATTTTCAACTTATACACGTGTACATATGTATAAAGAACGAACTACATATGATAGGAATAACGAATTTGTATGAATACTACATCCTACGAATGAACTGAACGCCTTTATAATTTTGAAGTACGTCACCTTAAAATATATGCCAAATATCAGCAATTCAAAATGAGCACCTTCATCTTGTCTCAAAGAAGTTTGTCTAAGCACTCCGGGGCCAGCTAATAGAAAAATTATTTTCTATTATTTTAGATTTTGCGTGTACCAGGCATCGAACCTGAAACCAAATAAGTAGATGTGTGTCCATCCTAACCAACAAATATTCCTCTTTTTTGAATGAAGGCGCCAAGGTGGGTTTGTGGGTAGGAGGCGAGGCGTTTATTCGCAAGAACTCTCACTCAGCCTCAATTTGCGATTGCTGATCGATTCTCTTATTAATGTCTATTCAGAGACTATCTTTTCTGATAGCTAAGTAACAATTAAAGCACAAATCTACTTCGAAAATAGTTATGTAATATAGACTTACTCTGTTTGGGTGCCAGACCATTAAGACATACCGGGCAATTGCGTTGCAAATGAATCGACGAGAACAGCAAGCTCAGTACCGCTCTTAATGCGGGCTTTCCTAATTTCTGGCTGAAAAGAAACTTTATAGAACAGGCAAATAGGTATCAGATGGTCTGCAGAGCTCACGTGCTGGATAAAAAGAACTTCTGACCGAAGTTGGATAAGCTCCTCCTCCGCATGGAGTGGTATGATTTCTTACTCGGCACTACGTGTTAAGTATAATCCGTTTGCAGTCAAACGCTATCGTAGCTGCCGTGATGTGGAGGAATCAAAAGTGTAGAGACGCACTGGCGTCTGGAATTGTCTTTAATTTCTTGGGCAAGGGGAGGAACGCAAGAAGTCTATAAGTTAGCATCACAGTGTTGGGACGAAGGCAGACTCTTGTCTAACCTATCCGAAGTATATCTTTAATTTTAATGGAAATATTTGGGAAAACCTTCCCCTATTACACACCGATAATCATCACATTTAAAACTTTCTTTTTACGAACTTCCGCAAGTGGCTGTTCAGTAAGAAAGCGTAATTTTTGGCTGCCAAGTGTGAACGACTCAGTCGATAGTCGAGATCTCGTTGTCTGATGGCTTGAATCCGGTCCACAGCCGATCGTTTTCTATAACTGGACTTTTTTCATGTTGTATAATTTGTTCAACTATTAAAAGGTATACATACATATTTTTCAACGCTTTACCATACTGCAGTATGAAATAAGCTACTTTATTGTTTTGCTAGTCCATTTTCATCTCGGAAAGTCAGTAGCCTTTTTCAAGCATTTAAAGCAAATGAAGCCACCGAATCAGCTGGTGGGGGTCATTAAAAAATCGGGTCTTATCAGACGTTTTATTATTCTGTCCATTGCAAGTCTGAATTACTTGACGGTTCTCAACCCTAACATAAAACCAGAAGCTGGTACAATGTTAACGGGGCCCGTTTATAAAGAAGGCCGGCTGCTACTGGTGAACAGACGTTGCTGACTTTAGTGGGTCCTGGGAGTGGCTCTCATAACCTAAGGCTCCATGAGAGTTGGCTGCAGCATTTCGTTCATTGATTGCTCATTTCGCCCACGGTGCTCGGACGCAAGAGTATAGTGCATTAAATATACAGTTATCGAGCAACTGTAATTACCTACAAACTTAGGAGCTCCAGTTCAAATTACATATTATATTGACTAACAATACTTGCAATACTTGCGCATAACTACAAGAAGACTTCAAAACTACTTAACATATTCTGGCACAAACATAAACAACATAATTGGTTTTACTCGATTGGTATATAATATTTAAATAATAAAATATTTCATGTTTACTTACATATGTATGTAGTTAAATATATTTCTTTAACAAGTACATATTTGCATTTTCTTGGACGCTTCTATTAGTACCGACAAGTAATGAAATTTCAAATCGAAAAATGGTGGGTATTTATAATTAATAACTTTACTGTTACGTAAGCGCTGTAGTAGAATATACCTAACGCTGCACAACATAACTAAAAATACAAAATTTTCTTTTAATGCAAAGTATTAGACATAATAAATAGAATAAAAGTGAATATGGGAATGCAATGCTTTGTACCTGCAATAGTGCTAATTTTTCTGTTCTTTAAATTTTTTGTTTGTTTAGCCTATTAGTTAGCAAAACTTTTCGTTGCTAATGAAGAACAAAAACTATCAAGGCTTTAGTTCTCTCTTCTATGGACCCCGATGCCACATTCCTTTGAACTTGTCATCGCACGAAAAACTATCTATCTAATTAGATAATAATATGTAGTTTAAATTATCATTCCCTATTTTGCAAAATTTTGCTCTAAAAATCACAAAAATTTACTTTGGTAACCATTTCAATTCCTCATGTTGAAATACATATCAACATATTCATTGCTGAGTTGAACATTGATCTATCTCGGCCGCCAGTTCGAAAACGATAAAACGATGTAACTCCAAAAGCTTTTGAAGAACACCTTACTTCAGAATTTGGTTGAGAACGCCCTAGCTGATATAGGGCGTTCTTCAACCAAATTGTGAAATAGGGCGTTCTTCAATAAAATTCTGAGGTAAATCGTTCTTCAAAAGCTTTCTGAGATAGGGCGTTTTCGAACTGGCTGCCGAGATAGGTCGATCATCCACTCAACCATCGATATATAGTATCGGTCATATCAATAGCACCCCCATTTCAAAGTGATATTGCTTGCCAATTATGTTTACATATGTATTTATTTTTAGGAGTTTTTAGTTAAAATACAGTTCTTTCTCTAACAAAACCCATACAAACGCAAGTTTAAGACTTTTTATTCAGTTTTTATTAGAGAATGAACTGTGTCTTAATTGAAAATTCTTAAAAATAAATAATTAAACGTAAGTGGCAAACAATATCACTTTGAAATGGGGATAAAATTGATGTGACCGATACTATACATACTTATATACGTATTCATTGACAGCTTATGTCGCAAGTCTTTTATATGCAATTTGCACGAAATGAGTTTCTAATATTACTATCCATTTTCGCCTTAACTCTCACCTTTGGTGTACATATACAATAAAATTAAATATGACTTTACTGTCTTTGATGACAGTTACATAATGAAGAAATGGATTCTTATCTTAGAAGCACGTTCTTGCTAAACTGCAGCTAAAAGAGTTTGAATATACATACATATCGTCGTTTAAAGTACAAAACCGCGTATCGTCATTCTGCAAAACCGCGCAACTGACATTGGCTGCCAAAAATTAGATTTGCTCACACAAGCTCTTGGCTCAATCCTTATCCATTCGCCCTAAAAATATACTAGCCAGAAATGCGATTGCTTTATAAAAAAGAGAACCATTTTGAAATATGTGTGTTTTTACGCTTTAGAAAATAATTTCTACAACTTCATATACGCGGTTTTGCATTTTGCTGATACGCGGTTTTGCATTTTGTTGATACGCGGTTTTGCACTTTAAACGACGATATATACTATGTATATACATAAGACCTTGATATGGGTATTTATATTTGCATACATATTACACTAAATTACAAAAAAAGATAGATTATGGTGCCAAAACATGAACTAAATATGTACTCTAAAAAAATACTTACAAAATGAACATTTGAATAAGTTGGGAAAGCTGAAAAAAGGCGAAATTTTCCACAGGATTGAACGAAATTTCATATGAAATACAATTAACAGAAAAATGGTTTAGCGTATCAATTGTCAGAATTCCACCGAAGGTCAGTTAAATAGTCTAAAAAGTAGATGTTGAAGAATTGGTTGCGCGTTTAAACTAGGACGAGACAACGGCAGTTATAATGTTCAAAGCTCTCCGTCTCTTCCTCGTCTCTGCAACTGCGGCAAAAATCGCTGATGTGGTATCCTAATATTTGTCGCGCGTGCCCCGCAGGCACTGCCCGTCGATTACTCCGATTACCAATCTCAGAGAAGAGCGGTACAGCCGAGTGAGAGCCATGGAGCGCTTTACAACAATCGTTGGCCAAATTTGCCTGGCAGTATGACAGGCGGTTTCCACAGCCTACCTCCTTAACCTCCTCGATGAGTTCTGCCTTTACTCTTTGTTTGCAGGAGATTACATGTTTCCCCACATTTTGAGCATAATTAACTTCAGATATTTCCGTATAGGACAAATTGAAGCACAAACACTTGATACTGAGGCTGCGTTTCTTTATACATTCCGGATAATCCCATTTCACAGCCGGAATAAACAGAATGTCTGAATGTCATTTTTGGCAGTTCTTATTTGTAATCAACCAACCGTCAAAATTAACTCAAAATATTCAATATGAACGATTGTGTTTTACAAAAAGGTTTTTTCCATTTAACAAATTAAATGCGGCCAATTTGAACGTAATATTAAAATTTTCAGTAGTTTAAGTTTTTTTTTTTGTTTTGAATTTTACATGAAAAAAGGATCAGTATTCGATGGCAAAGTGTTCAATACAGCCAAGCTTGCCTTACCTATGTACGTTGCTGTCAAAGCAAAGCAACTTTAAATCTTTATATGGCCTGGAATTTTATTCAAGTATTCACATAAATCCATAAAATACTGACAAAAATTATATAGTAAATCTTATTATTACAAAAATTATTTCTACATGTCTTAAAAGCTGTAATGCAGATTACTAAGTTTCTATTTCCTATCATGAAAGTTTTATTCATTGAAAACTGAACCATTCGAAATATTCCAGTGA